GTTTCTAGACTGAACAGTATTCTTTAATAAATTATAATTTTTGAAGAAAACGCAATTTTTCACATATGCTTTTGACATTTCTGCATCTTACTAAACCTTTTACGAAAAAGGGCAAATATTGCGCCTTTTTGTGTCTAGGCGGAATCTACATTCCAGGATATAACTTTCAAAATTATGTGGCCGCATTTTATCGATAAAGGGGGCGAGATATAAGGTTGGCATTTCACGTGTGCTAAAAGCACAACATTTATATTTTTATGATGATCGTATTGTACATTTTAGATGAAATTCACACAGTAATCAATCATCAAATTTAACCGTCAGGGAAGGAGAGTGGATTGGTAGATATTTTAGGCAAGATAATTTCGCTAAACGCTTATGTTAACATTTGAAGCCCCTCGGGTCAAAGTATGTTTCGTTAGCTTTAATTCGATACTTGAATTTGATAACTTACTGCGTAACCGAAAGTCGAACCACAGCGTGCAACAATTTGACCGACCAAAGCCAAAGACCGTTCGAAGCCATACGAACAAGAACTAGATTTTATCCATTGATAAATAGTAACCAATCATTAAGTAAGCCGTGAATTTAATCACGATTACATTATGTTATGAATAATAAACACGTTTAAACTGAGAAAGCGGTAGGTGAAGCTTTTAATTACATTTCCTGGAATCGGAGTCCCATAACTTGACATTAAAACAATAAATTAATAGATATTTTTGCACATTTTGAATAATTTATGCTGACCCAACTGTGATAAAACTCGGAAATGGCAAATACTGCAGAACATGAGCACCAAATCACTCGATGGTACTGGAAGTTATAGGTCATAACATTGTTATCTTTGGTCTATGTTAGGTGAGGAGACATTAGTGGTGGAGATGTGATAGGAGCCATTTCGATCTCAGCTGGAAGACGCGAGAGTAATATTTTTTTATACTTACGTTCGGTTAACTTAAATGTTGTCAAACAATGCGTCTGGCAGTCACCAGCACCTATCGTTCGTGTGCATGTATAATCTGAGTCAGCAGCAATATTGTCCGCTTCTCAGATAAAAATAAACGGTACCCTTCACCTAAGAGTTTCTGCCAGCACACATCAGGCATGCCAGTTTATGAATACGACCGCGATTTTAGACAGAAATGGCCGTGGTGTAAAATGTACCATTTCAGTGCCCTTACCGAATGTCCTTATTGTTTTTATGTCTCAGTGTCCACATTTTTGACTATAGAGACACATACCTCATTTCAGTTTTATAAACAGCCAGATCGCGTATGCTTCCTCCTTATTGCAAATTTTGCATGTATCTCTTGTAAATACCCCACAACTGTGAGTGAGCCTTAAATGCCCGTCAGGTAAGTATGCTGAAATTTTAGCCTAAGTGCCATAAGCGATTCAGTCTAGAATGATTTTTTTCCCGTAAAAAATAATCCTCTGTACTAGAATCTAGCAATTTCTCATTACAGATGCATACTCGTTTATAAACAGCATATTAAGAGGCGGCGCTTCTAAAATCTCCAAATATTGATTACAGCTCATCCGTTCTTTAAAATATGCAATTCGGGAACAAACTCCTCAAGTAAGGAGGATGGGGACTTCCACATTAATTAAATTTTGACAATATTTATCAGCCCACCAAGCACATTTATATACAACGTCAGCGGCGTTAGAAGTCTTGTGTTCCAGTCACCCTGTTTTGTACTGTTCTTCAGAAGCTGAGTCCACTTACACATAGCCTGCGATTAAACTGCTTTATTCAATGCCAGTGCATTTGCAGTGTCATCGGTAAGTGAATAATTTGGCGAATCGTCAACGTTTTAGGTGAAAATATGTGCTCTCTGAATGGCGGCAATTACCCATTCTTTTGACGTCACTTAAGGTGCAAAAGTGCCTACCTGTTTACTTAATACTACTGCACTCCACTCCACTGCAGCCCCTAAGTAAGGCGCTGCTTGAAAAAGGGAGTATCTGACAGCGAGATTTTGTTGTAAGCCAATAAGGCTGCAGTTTAGCTGGCGAAAATGCGTTCCCTCCTAGTATAAAAGTAGGCACTGCCTGGAAAACTTGTGTCCCTGAGAAAATGCAGACAACCCTCCTTTTCTTCAGATTGGCAGCAATACTGTCTCTCTTCCACATGGGGTAGGTGCATTTCTGATACGTTTCCTAAAACTTGTTCAGGGGATAATGATGCCAACATGTTTCATTTAGGATTTTACAGAATATTTAGCAAGCAGCTCGATTTCGCCTTCATTTGTTGATGTATTTATTTGTAAAAAAGTTACTCTTTCAAATGTCATGGGTAATGTTGAGGAAATCACATGGTCGTTTCTCCCATAGTCTTTACAGTCTTTTTGAATACACAATTAACATTGCTGGGCTGCGATAAATATTTCCATAATGAAGAACCAGCTGTTACTCATTTTTTGTTGACTGAACTGCTTCCGGTACGAGCGTAATATCTAAACTTCCTCAGTTACTGCGTATGTAGGATGTTCTGACTAACAAAGGTCATTGCGTCTCATACATCGATCTGGTTGTCGCAAGCTTATTCTCCAAAAATACGGTAATTCGACAAGCACCGTCTTCCAAATTACAATCCAAATATAGTGCAAATCGTTCGGATGCTCTGTTAGTCCTGAAATGTTTTCTAGAAAACCAGCAAACTCACGAACATGGCGTTTACTAAAGGCGAACGCATTTTTACTGAGGCGATGCAATATTAGAGTTGATGAATTAGTTATAATTGTTGTATGACAAGGATGTTATGGAAACATTATTGTCTTGCAGTCGTGGAAACAATCTGTGCTCTTGGAGCCAGCGAATGATTCCGAAGAATGCCACTGGGGACATTACGCTGGAGGTGCCGATAGTGTACAGCTATAGGGTACGTCAACTATTTAGCATACCTTTTTGCATTATATTTTGCTGCAATATATCTCTGGTAATGCAGGCTCCATGTGACACTATCCAGAATAGTTTGGATGATAATTTAATGAAATCTGCTTGCATATGTTAAAGACAGGATACCTTGGAAATGAACCATTTTGGACATACGCGGGTGCAAGAGGATGGTGTTCATACAATGAAGGCTACTTCCGATGTCCCTACACTGCACGTACGATTACTTTGCATCTTTAAATACTGTAACTTATTTTATTGTTTGAAAACCCCCTTATGTTACATCTTGATGTTCGTACATTCACACTAGGGCATGACTTAAAAAACCATACCTTTTTCTTTGTTCGATTCCTTTAAGATGGTGATTATTATGCAACGAGTGTAACTCTGCCGAACGTTGAGAAAATCTCCTATGCCATGCTAGAAAGCGATTATCCAATTACAATTCACAAACCTGGCGATGAGGGCATCCGTACGTTTAATTATGCCGCATCATAAAATAGCATTACTTTCTTGCAATCCGTGCAGGGTTTGCCAGTGCAGAAAGAAATCAGCTAGCTCGAACTTCTCATTGAAACGTTTAATTTTAGCTGGCTTCTATGTAAAAGAAGACAGCAGGTTGGATATCTGCACAAACGGCAAAAAGGTCATTTTGGAATTTGTGATGAATGGCAATGAAACGGACCTGCGAGATGTGAGACATGCTAGTTAAACTCATTAAATGCTAATTAAAACTCTCCTTGCTAATTATCGTCTGTATTTCAAGGTTAGCTGCTACAGGTCTGGGCGACTTCTGTGCTCCGGATTGCAACTCCATGGCACGCCAAAGAATGCCAATTGCGGTAGGTGACCCCTCCACTGACTGCTTGTTATCCTCCGTACACCGCATATATTAAGGGCTGTTATTAATCTAATTCGAAACACAACACTTAGCGTCCATCCATCTCCACTGGTTCAGGATAAGGAGATCAGTAGCATGGTTTGCAAAGAAAACAAAGTTTGCTAAACGTTATTTTGATAAAAATTTGGTGCATTATTAGACGCGACTAGTTAATGATGAAAGCCCTCGAGAATATCCATGGTACGCACATGGTCAGTCCCGATTATATGTCTTAAGTCTTTCCGACAGCACAGAAGCAGATGGATAGATAAGCCATACATCTATACATTTACGATCCCGAGTTTCTTTAACTTTGAAATCTGTCTCACAGCGTTGAACAACCTAGGTGATACAGTAACTTTATTAATGAATATTTAATTAATTCTCCTGTTTTTTTTAGTTCTTACGCATACAGTGATTTTACAACCGCATTAGCATAAAACAACCTGACTTATAATGAGTCTTTGTTTGATTATACACCAGTCTTCACTGCTTAAACTACATATCGAATAATTGCTCTCTTATCTAATTATTTAGCCTACAACATAAAGGAGGGTCGTTTGAGATTCGGATTTACTGTGAAGTACAAAAAGGCACCAAAGTCCTTCTTGTACTGTTACGCAAACAAGGAAAAGACTAGAGCACTGACCTACATTATCGACTGGAGAGGTTAGTTTTCGACACCGTTAGTGCAATTTAAAAGTGATGGAAATGTCTTTTTGATACTTAAATTGCTAGCGTCAACGCCCACCCTGTGTGTTAATGACGGTCAGATAGAAAACACTGAGCAATTTGTCAGAAGTGCATCTGCACTGGCCAGGACTACACAGAGATTGTCCTGTAGCGTTTCCCGTAGTGCAGATGTCTCCATTCAATAAAGCTGGCATGTAAAAAGTAATCAATTACAGGTAAGTCGCAATAACGAATTAAACAAAAAGATGGAAAATGATTTGATTGCAATCGTCAGTGACTCTCCGATTTGAGGCAAATGTGGACTTTACATTAATTTACACTCAAGCAATGTCTGTTGCTCAGATACGTGATTTTACGCCCAAAACACGCTGATTTTGAGTTTTCTTGAATTGCAGGTCCAAAATAAAACAACGAACGTGGTGCATTAGACAGCGAATGCGGGTGCTGGGATCGCGTACAAAACGCTCTGTTTGTGCTTGGCATGTGTTTTGCACATTGTGCTCTTCACAATCAGCCCTGCCAACAAATAAATACATATTGGATACGACACACACTTATGTTAACATAACACTCTTCCTTAAGCGTCTGCCGAAGTGCGATCTGGGTACAGTGAGCATGGCGCAAATATTGAGGCGGATCGTAATGATTAAATTCCCTATGAAGACAAAGTTGGTTATTTGCAATAACTAGAGGGTAGTATTGGAATGGGCATCTAGGTCTGGTTGAATGAGTCCGCAATGACGGTTGAATACATTGTGTGTACATTGGTATTGTTCTTGCTGCAAACCTTCCACTAATGAAGATGTGAATGCATGCTTACATTCACAGAACAGTTTTGAGACAGCGCAGGCTTCTAGTTAACGAATGAGTATGTAGAGACTCACACCATTCGTTTTTCAGTGTGAAATCATTTTTAAATGATCCACAGATGGAATGGGATGCGCAATCCTGACCATCTTCTCGTCTCTAATTCGCACTACTTATATTCCGACAGAATGGTAATCAAGGATCGAATGATTCACTCTACATCCAGACGCTTACCGTGTGCAGCAGACCAGCCCCTTGAAAGGGCCACAATGTGCGAATTTAATGCTTGCTCAGCAACAGTACCAGCAAAGAGCACTGGTAATAAATTTTAGAATTAGAGTTGCACTAGAATTATAGGCTAGATCGCAGTTGGTATTCAGGAATGGGGAAGCGGACGGCGACCTTAACCCTAACCCTAACCTTAACCTTAAACGCTAACCGTTAACCCTAACGGCAACCTTAACCCTAATTCCAACCCTAACCAAAATCGTAAAGGTAACCGTAGCCCTTAGACATAGACCTAACTATAAAGCATTACCGTTAGACTGAAACCTAGTCGTAAACTCAAACCTTTACCGTAACCCGAAAACCTAAGCATACAGGGCATAACCCTAGCCCTAAAATCGGACGCAATTAACCGGTGTACTAGTCCTACCCTCAAACGTAAAACGGAAGCCAAATAGGTCAAATGTGATTATGTAGCCCCACATAAAAGCCCCAGTAAACGAGCCCGCAGCCACATGTAATACGGGCCTTATGGCATATTCCCTAAACTGTGAGTAATTCATCAGCATTTTCATCAGCCAGTACGTGCACGGGACTGTATAGACCACATTTTTAAAATTATCAGCCTGATGTTATACTCGAGATCAAACTTTGGTGGAACACGAAAAAACCCCTGAGAAGAACCTCTCACTTGCTATCTACGTCATTGGCTCACATACTTGTGCTGTGAACTCGTATTCTGTACTAGCCGGACCCCGACACGCGTTGCTGTGGCTCAATCTGATGAATTGGGGAGTAAGGGAAAGAGGAAGGAGCACGTTCCCAATTAAGAAAAGTGTAAGGGCCACTGGTTGGCGGTACGTATTGTATGCGAAACCCAGGCTTGTCCATCTAGCCGCTTTCAAAGGCAGGGCAATTATTTGCTGCAACCAGTCGCGTTCGAGAATTCCGGAGTAAGTGGTGACGGCGGGCATTTATTTCGTCCACCTGTGTCGATCGAGGCAGTGGTGGCCTGAAGTCTCCAGCAAGCAGTAGCAGTGCATCGGAAATGATCTGCTGTTTCCTCGCAAATCCTGAAGCGTTCGGTCAGGGACCTCGAGCGCTTTTTTGCGCCATTGTGCATTTATCCCAAACAATAGGTTTGCATTTCCGCAGTACTTTTCCCATGCCGGATGCTTTGGAAATGTTATACGCGGGAGTTTCAATGAATTGCGCATTCAAAGGCAATTCCGAAGCTGAATGAACGGATTGTCTGCCAGGTAGCAGAGTTGCAGGTATTCCGGGGATGCAAGTGCTAGGGCTATGTCATTTATTAAATCGAATTGCCAGCAGAATCGGTCGTAGTAGGAACGTTTTGCCAGTCCCTCCTGGCGCATCTAGGAAGAAGATTCCTCCAACCTCGTTACTGACATTCCGCAGTATTTGATCGTAAATGCCATTCTGCTCCAGTTTTACCTTGTGAATGTTTGATTGCAAGCATGGCAGAAATTAAACCGTGTTTTATTTTTGCGGCGACAATCCCAGTTGATTAAGAACTTTGTTCGCGATTTCGGCGTACATATCCTCAATCAATATTAACGCCTCGCTGTAGATTCCTGCTGTGCAAGCCACATTTGAATTTTACTTGCATAGTTGACGGAAGGTATCTTCAGCCATCTGCAAATTCTACTTCTCCGGTAAATCCGTTGGAGATGAGGAGAGAATGCGGTCAATATGACTGCAAACAATGCACGAATTTAATGTGGATGGGACGTGTTGCAGGCGTCATTAATACATACGTCCCGCTGTTGATCGTTATCCAGAAACTGAAAAGCCTGACACACACTGCTGAAAGTGGCATGCGTTGACAGATTTCAATTGCTGGAAAGACGTTGGACCGGGCACATTCACCAACACCATGCGAAGTAAGATTGGGATGCACGGTATGCAGTCTGCCTAGCGCAGTTCCTTCGAGTATGCCGGGGTGTCCGTCCACTCGCTCTCCTCGTTTGCGTTGTTCGGATGATTTTCTACGCACATTCTCTGTGTAATGCGTAGGCACTTCCGAATGCGGCAGTGGTTTCACAAAGGCGTCACTTTGGCTTAACGTGGAGAACGAAGTTGATATTGTTGCCAGTGGACCTAAGGCAACCTCTTGCGCGTTTTGCATCGGTGAAGTAAGCGCATTGCCCATTCTCTAACTGTACTGCAAGCGAACAACACCTGGACTTCGCTCATGGATGAAAATGAAAGAATTCGCCACATGGATTTCTTGCTGTTGACGCATCTTCCAGCCCAATACTGTGCGATTTCATTGTGTTGTACGTCCGCATCGCTTTATCTCCTTTCGTGTTGCAGGACGAAAACGGACATGTCGCAGCATTTATTCACGTACTTACAAATGTACCTAATTCATTTCCCAAAATTGAAGTGTTCCACTTTTATGTGAACTGCGTTTGCTTTTAAAAGCAAAGGCGAATACGAAACAAACCAGCGGTTACCGACTTCTATGTCACCGATTCGCATTCGTACGGTTGCCAATTTGCCGATGTCTTCCGCTGATCATTTTCGGTATAAGGGACTTCCGTCTATCATGCGGGGGGGTTGGAGGATTGGGATTCAGTGCATCTAAGGTCCATGTAGCATATTCTTCGTCACAACTTCATGCAAATCATTGTCGACGTCGATATCAGATAATTCGGCGCATACTGCGTCGTCGTTTTCGCTGGAGGCGATCTTGTTATAGAACCAGATCAGGACATGTGCAGGGGCAGTCCCCACTTTTGCCGTTCCACCTAATACATCCAGCACCACCTCGTGTTTCACCATGAAGTTCATCAGCGATTTCGGTTTTCTGCAGAAAAACATGTACTCTGATGTCATACCTATTCAGGGGCGATAACCCGAGAACTGAGAGCTGAAAAATATTCCCCCCAAGATGGATTGCATGTGAATGTAAAGAGTAGGTTTGGACGTCCGTACTGACAAACAAAAGGGATTGCACCTCCAGCGTACCCGGGCGTATGGCGTAAACTGTCTGTGTATGTGGAGGACAAAAATCAGTAGTCTTACAACGGAAGGTGTATTACCGTCGTTTACAACTGCATCATGCAAAGGAATATATTCTTCAAAGCGCAGTTTGGTCGGATGCAAATGAATGAAAAGCGGGCGTCCTGTTTCGATTTCGCACGCGTATTCACAATGCAGTGATGAAGCAATTGACGGCAGTTCAAAAGGGGTTTACTTACATTCTGTCGAAGCATAAGTCGGAAGGAGTAGTAGTTCATTCCACTAAATTTCGCGTGCATTTCCTCGTCACTGACTGAATTTATGATGTTAATGTTGAAGTGATATCCAACGGCACCATCCCGAAAAGTAAATGGATACTGTGGTGAAATCGGTATTGTTCATTCTGTTGCTGAACTAAGCAGGCCCGAAGCTGCAGAACGCGGTAGCCGTGACCGCAACCCGGCTTCCGCAAGCCGAGCTGCACTACACTGAGCTGACATTGGGCGACAGCCCTATTATATGGGTTGCGCGGGGTGGTGGGGCTGGTGTTAATTGCGCCCAGTCCTCACCCTCAAGATTCCCAGAGTAAGCGGTGACGGCCCTAATATGTGGGCTGTGGGACAATTTTAAGTGGCGTCCAAGTGTCGCGTGTTTTTTTGCCCCAGGGGTGGTTTGCTCGGCGGCCCATATTGCAGCGGCCTAGAGAGGGTGGAGGGCCTGCCCAAGTGCCTGCGAGGTGAGTGGTGGGGTGGGCACGGCCGTCGGGTGGAGTACGTGCGTTTGAGCGAATGTCGGTCAAGTGGCTCGGCGGGTAGACGTGTGGGCACAAGCGGATGTAGGTCAAGTGGCCGCAGCTGGCGGCGTTGTTATGCCGAAAAATATCCAGTTTTTTACCCATCACAGGCGTACCATCGGCATAATTACACAACTGACCAGCCAAAAACCCGGCCTTATGCGCGGGTCGGGTTGTGTCCAAATTTCAGCGCAATCGGTGCAGTACTTTCGGAGCTGTGGCTCAATCGGATGAATTGTGGAGTAAGGGAAAGAGCAAGGAGCACGTTCCCAATTAAGAAAAATGTAAGGGCCGCTGGTTGGCGGTAGGTATTGTGTGCAAAACCCAGGATTGTCCTTCTAGCCGCTGTCGAAGGCAGGGCAATTATTTGCTGCACCCAGTCGCGCTCGAGAATTCCGGAGTAAGTGGTGACGGCTGGCATTTATTTCATCCACTGGTCTCGATCGAGGCAGTGGTGGCCTGAAGTCTCCTGCAAGCAGTAGCAGTGCATCTGAGCAATGAATGCTGAGCACGGGGTCGTGTTTGACGCTGGTCTGCTGTTCCTCCCTGGCGTCTTTCAGCCACTCTCATCTGGTATTGTTCATTCTGTCGCT